GTCCAGGGGAAAATTATTGGTGAGATTTTCATTGTTTAGGAAACTTAATGGAGTTCTCAGTTATGTCTCATTTAAGTCTCAACTTTGTCTCAGATGTGTCTCTTAATAAATAAAAATAGAAACAAATGAGTAACTTGTTAAAGGTCCCATGGCATGAAAATGTCACTTTATGAGGTTTTTTAACATTAATATGAGTTCCCCTAGCCTGCCTATGGTCCCCCAGTGGCTAGAAATGGCGATAGGTGTAAACCGAGCCCTGGGTATCCTGCTTCGCCTTTGAGAAAATGAAAGCTCAGATGGCCCAATCTGGAATCTTCCCTTTATGTCGTCATACGGGGAAAGGTTACCTCCCCTTTCTCTGCTTTGCCCGCCCAGAGAATTTGGCCCGCCCATGAGAAAATGAGCTACTACCGTGCGAGGCGGGCGCAATCTTTTTTTTTTCCTCGAGAGACTTCATGGCTTGCAAACGAGCGAAGCATGGCAGTTGCCCCGCCTCTCTCCTCCTCATTAGCATTTAAAGCTACAGACACAGAAATGGCACGTCCTAAGGAAAGCTCATTGTGGGACTGGCTCGTAGTGGCTGAAATTCTGCACCAAGGCTGAATTTCGGGAAAGAGACTTCAGATACAGTACTAGGGACCACTTAGGCCTATATAAAAGCATCTAAAACGCAGCATGTCATGGGACCTTTAACGGAAGCCCATTTCCGCGCATGAGGAAAATAATCATACTTATGAGATAATAGAAATTATGACATGAAAAAGTCAAAATGATGAGACTGGAATTTCATAATGTCAGTTTTGACCCAAGTATGTCATAATTATGACTGTCATCATTTTAACTTTTCATCTCATAATTATGACTTATGTCATAATATTGTCTATGACTTAATTATGACATACAAAGTCAATCTTATGACATAAAAATGAGAAACTATGACATTAGAAACATCAAATTTATGGGATAAAAAGTTTTTGTCGATTTTGACATTTCATCTCATAATTATGAGTACCATAATTTTGACTTTTTATGTCACAATTAGGACTTTATCTAATAATTATGACATGGTATGTCATAATTTTGACTTTGTCAAAAAAAATTTGTCATAACTTATTAATCTGGCAGAAATGGGCTTCCTTAACATAAGTTGTAAAATAAATGCAGATACCATTGGATCTGATCATTTGGTCTTAGTAATATTTAATTAGAAACACTTGAGTTCATATTAAGAATAAGATAAATCTGAGCATAGTTTGAAACATTATTGAGATCTCTTCTGAAACTCTAGAGCATACAATATTTTAAATGATTTAATTTCCATGAAATGCATCTTCTGTAGGAGCCACAGTTGAGATATTTAAGAAATCTCATTTGTGATTTTTTCTTTTTCTTAAGCCTGTGCACTTTTTCTTAGTTTACCATTTACCTATTTGCACAGATTATAAAATTCAGTTGGCACAAAGTACACAAAGCACACAAGTACATGTTATACATGTAACAGGACCATGTAACGATGGATTCTGTGAGATGAGAAAGTTTTCAATCAAAAATAAGCCTAGAAGGACGTTTTTTAACTGAATGTATCCTGTATCCCATACCTTCGGAGCCTCAGGGAACAGAGCTCTACCTCAGAATTTAATTTAGCCCAAGCCGCAAAACAAAACCAACACAGGCGATTATATACACATATATATTTAGCTCTGTTTGAACAGATCTGCTCCGTTCCTGCCAGTTTCTCAAGAAGTGTTCTGGAGGAAGGTAACACAAAATCAATTTGGCTCGACATGCCGTCATAACAAACAACCTTGTTTCTGGAAGTTTGCAAACGGGCTGGGCCCTTGTTTTCTCCTCACTGGCAGCCCAAGTCACAATGACCTCATGGCAGCACCTGTTGCACAGTGCGCTGCCTTAAAGGAAATGCCACGACCTTTAATGGTCCCTGACCTTTTGTAGCTAATGTAAACTCATTACGCACCACGAGCCTGAGGGAAAGGGAACGCATCGCCTAATCAGCACTCACCGCTCTCGATTTGGAGCATGTAATTGGGTGCCGTCCTCCAACAAAAAACACCCCTCATTATCTCACACTTTCAAACGGGTCCCACCGCGAGGTGGGCGTGGAGACGGGCCCGTCGGGGGTCTCGCGTCCCATCCGAAGGAAATCCAAACCCGCACAAAGGCCACCTTTGTTTACCGTCACTTAGCAGCAATTACAGCCCGTTAAAATATTTTTTTCTGGGCCGCATCGACGTGTTAATGGGCCCAGGGTTGGGTGTGAGGAGCAACCGGGTCTGTACACAAGGAACGGGGGTCAGAGGTTAATAGAGGCCCTATGATGAGCTTTCAGCAAGCTTTCCTTGCAGAAGGATGCAGAGAACAATGATGAGATAATGTGGTACAATTAGGTGGACAGCTACTCGCTCCGATTTGATCCCAGATCAAAGCCGACACCGAGTTGGGAAATGCCTGTCCGATCGGGTGTAGCGAACATCTAACAGCAGGGAGACATTTGAACAGACTGCAAAGTTCACGTCAATTGGATGTCAAGCAGTTCGACAGCATTTCATTTGGAGACTTCGTTCTCATAATGTATGTTTCCATTGAGTGGCTAAACTGAGGAAAAATGGGTGTCCTGGGTCATATTGTTGGTGATGTTTTCTTTTTCAACTTGATTTCATTTTTTTTTAAATGGAATTGTCAATTGTCTCATTTAAGTCACAACTTTGTCTCCTAAGAAATAAACAAAAAATAATGCTGTGGTAAATCATAGTCATGAAATAAATAGTGGAAATTATGAGATAAAAAGACAAAATTTTGTCATGTGACTTAAAATTGTGTCATGATACTTTTTGTAGTAATTTTGACTTAATTATGAATTATGACTTAATATGCCATAATTTTGACTTATTTTATGACTTAGCATGTCATAATTGTCTTGATCTCAGAATTGTGAGCATGTCATAATTTCGATTTATGACTTCTGTCATAATTGATTTTTTTGTCATAATTTGTTTTTTATCTCATAATTTTTACTTTTTATCTTAGAATTATGACAGTATGTAATAATTTTAACTTATTCAACCTAGTATGTCATAATTAAATTATTTTGATCTCATAATTTTGACTTTTATCTCAAAATTATGACTTTTCCTATATTATCCGTATCCCATATGACTTATGCTATAATTTCACTTATTTTAGGACTTAATATGTCATAATTATGACTTTTTATGTCACAATTGTCATTTTATCTCATAATTTTAGGATTTAGTGCCCCAGTTTCACAGACAAGCCTAGTCCCAGACTAAAATGTAAGTCTGAGCTGTGAAAGAAACTTCCCAGACTAAAATGTAAGTCTGAGCTGTGTCAACTGAAAGAAACTTGCACTGATTGATCTTAAAATATATCAGTGTCTCAAGTTTTGTCTCAAGATGCACTCCAGTAATGTTTTTTTTCTAAGGCACGTTTATAAAATATTACTTAAATGTCCTAATTGATCTATGGCCTAATCCTGGTTTAGTCTAAGTCCTGTCTGTGAAACCAGGCCAGTATGTCATAATTTCAAATTATTTAACTTGGTATATCATAATTAGGACTTTTTGTCTCATAATTATAATAATTTTGATTTTATCTCAGAACCAACTTAGTATGTCATAGTTGTCTTTTTATCTCATAATTTTGACTTTTCATCTCAGAATTATGACTTAGTATGCCATAATTTTTACTTACTTTGTGACTTAGTATGTCATTATGACTTTTAATGGCATACTTGTGTTTTTATTTCAGAATTGTGACTTAGTATATCATAATTTCAACTTATTCTTATTATGACATAGTATGTTATAATTTTGTAGCCTTTTGTCTCATAATTCTTTTTTGAAATCTTTGACTTTTTATCTCATAATTATGACTTAGTATGTGCAAATTTTCACTTTTTATAATTATGCCATTTCGTGTCATAATTATCATTTATCAACATTTATCAAAGCATGATTTTTTAAATTTATTTAATTATTTTTGTCATTTAACAGCAGGGAGTCATTTGAATAGACCTCAAGGCAATACACGCTCCGGCACAGTTGTGCGAATTCACATGTGGAGGAAGCGAATTAGGCCAAAGTGAAATAAAAAACACTCATCAAAAGTCTAGAAAATGCGTTTAAGCTGCCCGACTTAGGATGCACCTGAAACACAGCTCACAACAATGTTCCCTTCATGGTTGTGGCTTGTATTTCAAAGCTGTGAAACTCACAGCGTGAAGATTAATGTGGGACACTGTATCCTCTATTGATATAAGCTCCACCACATTAAGGAAAAACCTGGAACCTCTCAAAGATGAAAAGATTTCTGGCTGATGTTTACAGCCCAACTGGATGCGGTTTTCACATGCAAAATGAACGCTTTATCAGATTTGTGAATAACGCAGCCCACTAATCACGCTGAGATTAAATCACTTCTGGTCCAAGTGTGGAGGTAGGTCACGGTTCATGGGAAACAACCGTTTTGTTGTTGTTTCTGTTGCATGGTTGGGCGTATTAACCTTTGCGATTCATCATCGAGGCAATGTGTATGTCCTACTTCAACCCTGAGCAAATAGGAAAACATGGATCATACGGACCATTAATAATGAACAGACTTGGAAGAAGCTTGGAAGTCATGACTTTCTCTATAGCTACATTTACATGCACCCAAATGATTGGATTGATGACTCAATCGGACTCAAAAGCCTTCATGTAAATACCTCAGTTGATCCGACTGGATTGAAAGTGACCTGAAAAATTAAGAATGTAATGCTTGAATCCGACTATTTTCTGAATCCGATTCAAAAATACTGTGCTCACATGCGCAGTGCCATGATGTGTATGTTTACATAGGTTTTACATCATGCAAACATGCATATGTTAATTTAGGTCTTATATCTTATGAACTGGAAGTGATGGGAGAAATCAGGCTTTTTGAAATGAGTCAACTGAACTAACTGCTTTGCAAAATGATTCACTGTTTTGAAGCTCTTGAAACACGCAGTGCCTGCTGGTCAGAATGGTGTAAATGCAATGAAAACATGCATAAAAACAGATTTGCAAACCAATTGCAAATGTTTTGAAAGTGTAATCTATTAAATGCATTTACTAAATGCATCTAATAACATTAAATATGAAGTGTCTATTATGCTATTATTGTATTAAATTGTATAGCTTGTTTCATTTGGTTGCATGGTTAATTAGGCCAATACAAGACCATTAACTACAACTCTTCCATTTTATTATGCAAATATGTCATTAAAAATGTCTACAATTTTATAAAACTGATTTGAGTTCAGGTAAAAATAAACACTGCTTTATGGGTTCAGAGCAGCACACCATTGAAATGTCAAAATGCTTTGAAATATTTATGATGTAAATGGATGAGTGGATGAGACTGAATATTTACTAAATATTTGCTAAAAAAACATATATGTCTGCTTTCTTTTTAGATATGTCATCAAAACAAAAATGGCATATATCGGCATGTAGGCTTGTGCGGAGCTGCACGAGCCTATGTGACTTTGGTGACATTATCGCAGTGGCTTTCAGTTTTGTTTGGAATACATGTAAACACTGCATTAAAGAGGTTTGCCTCGTATCTCGAGAACAGGGCTGCGTTTCCCGAAACCTTCTTAACGCTACGTCGTTCGTAAGTTATACCTTAAGTTGTACCTTTACGTTAATACGTGTTTCCCGAAACGTTCTTAGTTAAGTATACCTTCCGTAAGTCATTCGTTCGTAAGGTTAGTCTGGACCACTCTTAGCTATACCTTATCGCTGTTCACAGTTCACTCCGCTAGTGGCCACCACTGTGCAAAAACCTTCTTCACATTTCAGTCGATACGATTGTAATTCTGTGGCAAGAAAAAGTGCAGAACCAAATAAATATTACAATTCTAAAGTTGTAATACACCCAGTGTTCAATTAGTGTTCAATTAATTGAAGTGTTTTTATGCAAAGAATAAAACTGTCATTATACTGATGGTTGTTAGTTTTTCCATTATAATATACAAAGGCACATCGGCTGGCAAAATATTAGGCAGCACATAATTAGGAGTCTATTTAAAGGGAATGAATGTGATGGGGAGTTTGGTCAAACTATGGCAGCGAGACAGCGAATAGTTGTCCTAAATTAAAGACGGCTGCCGCGGAGCCAGTTAGTGTATGTGCACTATTTCATAATAGTGTCAGAATAACTACCATGTCAAAAGATACAAACGATACAAAAGATCTACAAAAATGTTGCCTGCCACGGGAGCAAATTCAGCAGCTTTAGGACTTTTTCTGTAAATTTAGGACATTTTTTCACTTCCGCTGCACCTGTCTTGTGTGGAGTGCCCCAGGGATCCATTTTGGGACCTTTACTGTTTTCCCTTTATATGCTTCCCTTGGCCGACATTTTTCAAAAATACAGTATTTCATATCATTGTTACACGGATGATTCTCGGTTTTATCTACCAGTAAGGCTTGATTCTGCTGTTTCATTTGACGTATTATTGAAATGTGTACATGATATTAAGACATGGATGTCTAATCATTTTCTGCAGTTAAATGAGGATAAAACTGAGGTTTTAATATTAGATTGTCCTGCTGACTTGTCTCCTGCTTTGGAAGCTCAGTTAGGTCCACTTTCAACTAATGTACGCAAACAAATAAAAAACCTTGGAGTGATTTTTGACTCCTCTCTATTTTTTGATAAACAAATTAGTGCTGTTATTAGAGCAAGTTTTTTCCATTTGAGATCTATTGCAAAGTTGAAGCATCTTCTTTCAAGGAAGGATATGGAAGTTGTGATTCATGCACTTGTTACATCTCGATTGGATTATTGTAACTCTCTTTATTCTGGTCTTCCTCAATCTTCAGTGTCACGATTGCAAGCTGTTCAAAATGCTGCGGCAAGACTTTTGACTGGGTCAAAAAAGAGGGATCACATTTCTCCTGTTTTATCATCCCTTCATTGGCTTCCCGTTAAATTCAGGGTTGATTTAAAAATTATTCTGTTTGATTATAAGGCATTGTCTGGTTGTGCACCAAGTTATATCTCTGAACTTCTTGTTCCATATTGTCCTGCTAGGGCACTTAGATCTTCGAGTCACTTGCTTCTAACTGTAGTTACACACGGTGTCTGTACAAATCAAATGGTGATCGGGCTTTTTCTGTGGTTGGCCCCAAGCTTTGGAATGGTCTCCCCTATCATGTGAGATCTGCTACTTCTTTGGACATTTTTAAGTCTAGACTTAAATCTTATTTTTACTCTTTAGCCTTTGTATGTGTGTAGTTGTTGTTTTTATTAGTAGATTTGTTTGATCACTGTACAGCACTTTGGATCAATTTACATTGTGTTTAAATGTGCTTTATAAATAAATGTTGTTGTTGTTGTAAACGAATATTCAAATGTATTTACATATATATAACAGAATCTTTAGAATGTGAAATTGGATTGGATTCATACCGAATGACAAAATTTAGTGCATGTAAACATATCTATGTTTAGACCCTCAGGATAAATACATGCTCCAACAACCAGATCAGATTTGTTTAATCTGCGCCAATTGTGAGCGTAGATCAAGGGAAGCGATGATTCCCCTTAAAAGCAAACCTTCATTAGGCCGAAAACGAGGAGTTGCGGAAGTTACAGGCGGGGTCGCTGAGGTTAATGCCGATCCGAGTGTCCTGACAGCACATCTCCTGAGATTGAACAAGGTCATGCATTTGCTTTCACTGGACCTAATGAGCTCGAACAGATTTCGACTTTCTCTTCCCCTCTCTGCCAATCACAGGTTGCCCCTTTTCCCTGGAGATGACATTCCCGCTTGTTTTTCGTGGTGCATCACAGTGGGTGGGTTCAACTCTCCAGCTCTGAAGTCATGCAAGGAAGAAGTGGAGGAGATGGGTGTAGATGCGACATGGGGATGCTTTTATGACATCTTGCATCTGCGTGCTTGTTTCCCTATTTAGTTTTATACTAGACAGTGTTGTTACAGGATGTTCTAACTTTGAAAGGAAGACAAATGCAGGGCTGACAGAGAAAAAGAAGGAGTTTGTTCTTCTCAAGCCGTGCCAACACACCTGCTATTATTCACTTCAGAGGAAATGGACACTCGGTGGATGAGAGGCTGCTGGCCAGAGGACAAAAACCACCGCAGCTCCAAATTAGAAACAGGAAGAAATGTGGGTAATGCTACGATTAAAACCGTCTTCCCCTCATGGACTCAATATACTTGAGCCCAGCTCCCTCTCTGGAAACCCAAAACCCCACAGCACTATTTTATATCACAGTCAACAAACACGCTGTGTTCGAACGCCGGTGGCATTGGCTTTCGCTGAGACGGTCGCCAATGTTTACAAACTCTGCAAATACTCTGCACTCTTATGGAGCGCTTCAGTCGAGCTATATGATTAATGCTCTCCTGTGCCATGCACAGCCTTTTCACTCTGATCTAAATATTTGGGGAAATGTTAGTAAAACTGTCTCGGAGAATGTTGCACAACTGTTTAACTGAAAGAGTTATGGGATGTCCTGGTACGTTCTGTTACGCTCGGCTAGAAAGGGTACAGAAGTGTCCTACCTGGAAATAAAGACTGAAAGGAGGTGTTTTCAGCTCGTTTTGTTTGGTCAATTCTTATCTCATGACATCTATGAAGAGGCCCTTAAAGGTTAGGTAGGGAAAGATGGGGTAAGATGTTCCCCCCACTTTTAATTTTTAAAAGTTCAAAATGAGCCAGATCTCATCTAAGACCATTTACCAAATGATTCAAAACTCTATAAAAAAATAAAATTGATATATATTTGTTCATGGAATTATGTAATGTAATTCATTATTACATTTTTGTCCGTTTGTATCATGATTTAATCCTTCGATTAATATATCTCTTTGTTAATATATATAACAAACTCGCCTGACCTGAACCCCATAGAGAATCTATGGGGTATTGTCAAGAGGAAGATGAGAGACACCAGACCCAACAATGCAGATGACCTGAAGGCCGCTATCAAAGCAACCTGGGCTTCCATTACACCTGAGCAGTGCCACAGGCTGATTGCCTCCATGCCACGCCGCATTGATGCAGTAATTCATGCAAAAGGAGGCCCAACCAAGTATTGAGTGCATAGAAATGAACATACTTTTCAGAAGCCTGACATTTCTGTTTAAAATATCCTTTTTTTATTGATCTTATGTAATATTCTAATTTTCTGAGACACTGAATTTTGGGTTTTCATTATCTGTAAGCCATAATCATCAAAATTTCAAGAAATAAAGGCTTGAAACATTTCACTCTATGTGTAATTAATCTATATAATATAGTGGTTTCACTTTCTGAAATGAGTGACAAAAAATATTGACCTTTTTCATATTCAAATTTTTTTAGATGTACCTGTATATATATATATATATATATATATATATAATGTAGCTAGCTTAGCAAAAACGTCAGATAACTGTTAGTGTTATAACAACAGTGTCAGTGTAACTGTAATTCAATGCTGCAACAAAGACTACACGATGCCTTTAAAAGCAACAGGCGAACAAATGAGGAACATTCACTTAAATAGCAGCTTGTTTAGTGACCGTATGTGAGCACACAGCCAGACCCATCCGAGCAGCAGATATGCTAAATTGCTTTGTTTACCTTGCTGTGTAGCGGGAGCGCAGCAGGCGCGAGTACGGAAAATACGGAATGGAGTTTAATTTATGTGGACTCTGTATGAGCCAAGTGGAATGGATTTGAGGAAGCAGAAGCGTGGAAGTCAAGACTGTCGCTAAAACGGGAATGGATTTGACTGACGGTGCTCTGAAAAGTGAACAGATATATTCGCTGAATTAGTGAAGGTAAAAGTGAGTGGATCCATTATCATTGGTCTTAAAAAGTGTAATGGTTCTGACGCCCATGTATATATTACATATTATGCAAAAATAAGTTGACAGCTGGGATAAGTTTAAAGCATGCCTTTGACAAACATGTTGATCTCAAAACACCCAAACACAAGGTGGCTCAAGAAGACTTTTAGAATGTGTTTGGAGCCAGAGAGGGACTGAGAGAAAAAAAAAGTGCCAACGCTTGGCCCTAACCAAACATTCCCGTCCCATTCTCTCACACATCTGTATGGATATGTGATCTTTCAACCGTTCTGTTGAATAGATTCTGGTGTTCGTAATGCCCCGCACTAACTTTCCCACAGCAGACTATTAGTGCTGCGCTGCTGTCAACAGGAGGCTGGCGGGGACAAATGGGGCGGAACCGAATGAAAGAGGAGACACGAAAAACGCGATGCACCGAAAGGATAAATTAGGGGGGAAATGAATGTTGAAATATGCCCATTGCCCTTTTGCTTTCACCTCCGACCTTTGACCCGCTGATACTTTCCTCCTCTTTGCCTGACGACCGCTCTCCGGTATTTCCTGCCTTCCTTGCGAACATAGAGGTGTCGACTTGGAGACATTGAGCCTGAACGCCATGCGTTGGAATGAATTATGCCATCTTTATTGGGAAGGTATGCCAAGAAAAGTAATGAAGTGCCTTAAAAATAAAGGTTCCAAAAGAGGGTTTTCACAGCGATTCCATAGAAGAACATTTTAGGTTCCTCGGGAACCTTTCAGTGAATAGTTCTTGAAAGAATACTTTTTTCCTAGCGTGAAGAACTTTTGTCCTCTATAAATAAACTTTTTTTGCAATGTAAAGGTTCCATAGATGTTAAAGGTTCTTTTTGGAATCATTAAATGGCAATAAGGAACCTTTATTTTTAAGAGTGACTTGAAACAAAAAAGCATGAAAAGTGTAAAAGCATGAAATTTTGCACACGAAACAAGCTTTACTATTGGTAATAAATCAGATTTTGACTATAGTGTGCTAGGATGCATTCACTGATGGGGTGGGCTGAAGCAGAGCGCTGGCAATCATCTCCGCTTTATGATCTTATGGCCAGATGTTTATGTTCCATAGGCTGGAGTGGAAAACTGCCATGACATCAGCCAGAGGACAGCAGGATTCTGGGTCTGGGACAGGTAGTGACTCACAGGAAGTGAGCTGAGGTGAGGCAGGCAGAGGGCAATCCATCTCTTCTGCACACACACACACACACACACACACACACACACACACATACGGTTAAGTCTACCTCTTCGCAGCCACATGTAATGTAAGAGGCAGTTGCATACAAAGGTTTTAAGAGCTTAAGCTGAGGAAGGAGATGGCATGCATTAAAAAGTCTGAAATCTCACCCAAACAAATATTTAGGCCTAAATTTAAGATTTATGTACTTGAATTGCATTTTGCACTTGGATTACAGTTTCAACATAAACACACTAATAGACTTCATGTGATGCATATTTGTCAGTCATACATAAATGAAACGGGTATGATTTCTATAATAGTAAGTTTATTAGTAATAGTA